ATACTCATTCATTCATGCAAAAACCCTAGCACGCACACAGATAGTTAGATGGTCCTGCAAAGGTTAAGGAGTTACCAAGTTCTAAAGTTGCTTGGATCAGTCTGGTGGCCAGCCGGACTGATCACGAGGAATGGAGTCAGGTCTTGCTGGATGCGCCCAAAACTCCTTCTTGCAGGTGGGCAGACCCAAAGCCTTTTCTTTGTGCTCATTCTTTATAGTGATAGCTGTCCATACAAGTTTATGAATTCTGCTGAGTCAGACACGAAGGTGTAACAGGCACGAAGCGTATATTATATTAAAAAACAAGCCAGACCTCTATCAGGAGGAACAAGGCAATTTGCCATGTTTATTGAGAATACAACCTTAAAATGATACACACATCAACACACACGTATACACATCCGGTCTCCTTCTCTCTGCAGATGTTATAGTTACCAAAGTCAGTTGCTCAGTATTTGCTCTAGGTGGTCAGCCTAGGCATATTGAGATCCCAATGGAACTGGGGTGTACAGATGCACCGGTGCTTCTGGCAAGTTTGCATAGTGAGTTCCCACCTTTATACTGTTAAATCTGTTCTTTTATAGATCTGTTCTTTTATGTTCTTTTATAGATCCTGCCTTGTTGGACCTGGTCCTGGCCATAGGCGATGACTTAGTGAGAGGACTGTGGGTGCTTGACCACCTGGGTGATAGTGATCATCACCTACTGGAATTCACAATCCAGGACAGGGTGTCAAGGGCCTGCAGCAAGGCAGCAGCCCTGGACTTCAGGAGGGCGGACTTCAATGAGGTAAGGAGACTAGTCGGGGAGGCACTGAGGTCCTGGAGGGCACGGGAATTGGGAGTCCAGGAAGAGTGGTTGTTCCTTAAGGAGACGATCCTCCAAGCCCAAAGGGTGACAATCCCCACACGGATCAAAGGGGGCAAGAGCGCTCAAAAGCCCCCATGGCTCACCAAAAGCATCCAGGAATGTGTCAAAGCCAAAAAGGAGGCGTACATCCAATGGAAGGGAGGGGCATCACCAAGGAGGATTATACCGCCATTGCTTGAGATTGCAGGGGGGCTGTTAGGAAGGCTAAGGCAGAGATGGAACTGGGACAAGCAACCTGGATCAAAGATAAGAAGAAGTCCTTTTTTAAATACATAGCAGGTAAAAAGAAACTACCAAGTAAAGCGGGGCCTCTGCAGGACATGCTTGGTAATGTGGTGGTAACACCAGATGAGAAAGCTAATCTTAAGAGATTCTTTTCGTCCATTTTTCTGAGCAGGGACAGGGACATCCCCGCTACTGGGAATCTGGATGGACCCAGGGGAGGTGCAGCCAGGCCCAGGGTCAGTGAGGACCTAGTCAGGGAACTTTTGGTGGGACTAGACATGTTCAAATCAGCAGGTCCTGATGATTTCCACCCCAGAGTGCTGAGGGCATTGACAGAGGTCATTCCGGGACCCCTGGCACCCCAGGCTTTATGAGCATTTGTGGTGCTCTGGCCAGGAGGACTGGAAAAGGGCCAATGTGGTTTCCATTTTCAAAAAAGGGAGGAAGGAGGACCCAGGAAACTATAGGCCCATTAGTCTTATCTCGGTCCCGGGGAAGCTCTTTGAGAAAATTATCCAGGAGCACATCTGCAAGGGACCAGCAGGGGAGATTATATTTAGGGGTAATCATAATGGGTTCATTAGAGGCAGGTCCTGTCAGACCAACCTGGTGGCTTTCTACGACCAGGTCACAAAATCCTTGGAAACAGGTGTTGCGGTGGACGTAGTCTTTCTGGACTTTAGGAAGGCCTTCGACACTCTCTCTCACCCCATCCTCATTCAAAAATTAGGCGACTGTGGCGTCAATGTCTACACAGTCAGATGGGTCGCAAATTGGCTGAAGGGCTACACCCAGAGAGTGGTGGTGGATGGGTCGTTTTTGACCTGGAGGGATGTGGGCAGTGGGGTCCCCCAGGGCTCAGTCCTTGGGCCCGCGCTGTTCAATATCTTCATTGGTGACTTGGACGAGGGGGTGAAAAGCACCTTGTTCAAGTTTGTAGATGACACTAATATGTGGGGAGAAGTGAGCACACTAGAAGAGAGGTACAGGCTGCAATTGGATCTGGACAGGTTACAGGGGTGGGCAGATGAGAAGAGGATGGGTTTCAACACTGACAAGTGCAGGGTGCTGCACCTGGAGAGGAAGAACCAGCAGCATACCTACAGGCTGGGGACCTCCCTTCTTGTCAGTGCAGAGGCAGAAAAGGATCTTGGATTCGCTATTGATTCCAAGATGAACATGGGCCGACAGTGTGGGGACGCAGTCAGGAAGGCTAACTGCACCTTGTCCTGCATCCATAGATGCATAGTGAGCAGGTCCAAGGAGGTGATCCTCCCCCTCTATGCAACATTGGTAAGGCTGCAGTTGGAGTACGGCATCCAGTTCTGAGTGCCGCACTTCAGGAGGGATGTGGACAGCATCGAGATGGTTCAGAGGAGGGCCACTCACATGGTCAGGGGGCAGCAGGGTATGTGGCAGAAATGCCACTGTCAGTGCCCCTCTCCAGAGATCTGTCTCCACCAGCCTGAGAGGCTGGTGTTGAATCCCTCAGGGCAGGGATCTCCCACCTTGTCTGCATGACAAAAGCCTGGCGCCTGGGAGGCGATGCTCTGGTCACCTAGGCAGGGGGGAAAGCCCGGCCCTGCATGCGGGCCCAGGTAGCCAGGGATGCTTGGTAGATTGGTCGGCTTGTGGCCAGTATTGGCAGCTTCGATTGGACTGGGCTGCTGAGGTCAGAGAGGTGATAAAAAGGCCCAGGCCAGGAAAAAGGGAGCCATTAGCCATGTGGTCATCCAGGTGAATCTGAAACTCTCTCTCTCCTCATCAACGCATGCTCCAAGTGTGCCCTGCCTCCAGAGGAAACTCCAACCACCTCTGGATGATGCGAGTGAGTAAGCTACTTGAGATCAGGTGAGATATTTAGCTTCAGTAACTCAGATGCGTGTTGAAACGAAGTGCCCCAAGTGCTTGTATTGGGTCTAGCACCCATTGGACGATCAGGCCTGTGTTCTCCAAGGTGCGCAGAGCCAGAATTGGGTCCAGAGCCTGGGATGGTGGCAGCGGGAACCCAAGGCTAGCGGGGGTGCTCCAGGGAAGGGGTCGGCCGGCAGGCTAGCGGGTGTGCTCCAGGGAAGGGGTCGGCCGGACGGGAGGCACCCCAGGGAGGCACTCGGAGCCTGGACGGTGGTCGGGCGCAGGGAGGTGCGTGGCTCAACACAGGAGCGCCCCCTACTGGCCCGCCACAGGGTAGGCCCTATGAGGTGAGGTTACGGGACCTGAATCTGTTCAGCCTCCACAAAAGAAGGCTGAGAGGGGATCTGGTGGCCACCTACAAGCTTGCCAAGGGGGACCAGCAAGCACTGGGATAGTTCCTGTTCCCCCGATCACTACCAGGAGTAACAAGAAATAATGGCCATAAGCTGACTGAGAGTAGATTCAGGCTGGACATTAGGAGGCACTTTTTCACGGTCAGGGCAGCTAGGAGATGAACCCAGCTTCCAAGGGAGGTGGTGTTTGCCCCTACCCTGGGGGTCTTCAAAAGGAGGCTGGATAGACACCGAGCCAGGGTAGTTTGACCCCAGTATCCTTTCCTGCCCATGGCAGGGGGTCAGACTTGATGATCTGATTAGGTCCCTTCCAACCCTACCAACTATGAAACTACAGGGATTGCAAGTCTTTGTTTGAGACAAGGGTACTTTTCTATTCTGGCATGAGGTCAAGCTCATACATCATTGCCCCAGGTGCTAGTATCATTGAAACTTCCTCTGTTATCACGGTGCAGGCAGGGTCCATCGCAAAGGGAGTCCTTTAGCCTTGGGATGCTGTCCAGGCCTTGTTTTAAGCTGGTCTCTGCTGCTTATCTTTTCCTCGTCTGGTATCAATTAGTTCTTCAGTGGGATCCACCATTTGGCAGAAACACCACCAACTGTTTCTGCAGTGTGATCCGCCATTTGGTAACTTATTGACACACATTCATAGCTTGCTCTGCTTTTACCGTTCACTCTACATTCATTCATCCATGCATCCGAAAGTTTACAATAATATAAAAGAAATACTTCTATGAAAATATAATAATCAGAGTATAGACAAATAACAACTTAATTTGTCAACTTGAAATAAAATAACTATTCTTATTTATGGTAAGCAATACAAAGTGGAGTCCAAGTCTTGCATTGCATAACAATAAAGCCTAAATAAAACTAGATAATACTACACCTAATTAAAAGATTAATATGCTAGTGTCAGCTCAACAAAGGTCATCCTCCTTGTCCAATTGGCAGGCTGGGCTTGGTAGGACATGATCTTCTGGCTTTGTGACCTGCAATCTTCAGGGGGGTCGTTGCTTGTAGTCTTCAGCTGTCAGGGTGAAGGCATGGTCTAGTATTTGGTAATCCTTAGCTGCTGACTTTGTATCACTGCAACCTTTAACTGTTAAGCCACAGAAGGCTATTTTCACCTGCTGCGAGGGGACTGTCTTCCTTCACATGGTCACATACATACATCATTCATTCTTTCACTACCTCTTTTCAAACATGCCAGACACACCACAGCCCCTCCATAAGCATTTTCCTTATACCAAATTTAAGTTCTAAAAACATGAGACAAATAGGTCAAATATATTTATGCTAAGCACTAGGAAATTTAAAATAGATGGTTAATTCCAAAACAATAATGACCGATTAAAGTATGGAACGTAAATCATAACACTATTTAACTTTATCTTAATGGCCAAGTAATTCAGTAGAAAAACTAGCAATATAAGCAATTACAGCTACAGCAATGTAGATCCCTCACACCCACGACACCCCATATGCTCACACCCACATCCCCCACACCCCAAATACTCTCACACCCCACAAACCAATACCCACCCCCAACAATACAGAAAAATAAGACTTCATTTTACACTACTGTGCAATCACCTCTGTGTACACTACACAAACACATGTAAATCAGGACAAAAACAAATTAGTGAATGTTGTAGATGTTCAATTTTTAGAATATAATTTGATATTTTTCTGGTTCCAAGATGGCAAACCCCCTTGCTGAAAGAAGTGCTTCCTGAGGCAAGGGAAGGGACTTCTGGTGGAAAAGCTCAGGGTTTAGGGGGCTGGACTTCCAGTCCCAATATGGCAACTAAGGGGTGGAGCACCTGTCAAGGGATGGGGCTACCCATGTGGCAGCTTACCTAAACTGTGTAAACAGCTCTCTAGCCAAATCATTTCCCAGCCCAGTGTTAAATTGTGGGACTGGATTAGCAAGGAATACATTACAGAGAATGGGATGAAGGGATTGTGGGGGGCAGCAGCTGGCACCTGGTGATGCAGAGTTCTGATGAGTGGCTGAGAAGCAAAACCTGCCAAATTGAGCTCATGGGGTGGCAGTATCAGCTTATTGCAGACCCCAGTGAGCATGTGTGAGCCTGGGAGGGGGGGTGACGTGGTGGGGAGGAAAGGCAAGGTCAGGGTGGAAGGCAGAGAATGCCTGCCCAGCGGTAAATGTCCTCCTTCCTGCAACTCTAGAGCTTCACATACCAGAACCCGGGGACCAGAAGGGAGGACAAAGTTGGGAGTCTACGAAGCACAGGCCCTGGATGTCATATAGAGCCAGCTGCATAAGGGGGTGAATCCTATTGCGAAGGCACTTCTTCTCCCCCTGGGAGCACTGCCTACTTTTAGAGAATGATGGATTGGGGCTGATTTAAAGACCATCTACTCACAAGTTCCCCAAGCATCTGGGCTGGCCTCTGCATGAAGCATTTCTTTTAAACCCCTCCCCTCATCAAAACTTAGGGTCAGGCCTTTGTGTTGTTCGGGTTCTGCACGGCCCTAAAAGGGTCAAATGATGGGTGAACTATTGCATGTTGACATGAGTCGAAACACCGTTGAAATGAGACTGCTAGTGAAATTTTGCGTAGCCCTACTGAGCAGGTATATGTCTCCAAGCAATTCCAGCATAGCTGGAAGAATTATGGATGCACTGGTGCTGGGCCATTTTGGAGGAGTGAGGGAAGCTCTCACTACACTCCGAGCACTGATGTGGCTTCACCCCTGTGTGGATGAGCTGGTGCTCAGACAGGTGGGAGGACTGGTTGAAGTTCTGCCCACACTCCAAGCATCAATGTGGCTTCTCTCCTGTGTGAATGAGCTGGTGCTTAGCCAGGCTGGAGGAGGGAGTGAAGCTCTTCCCACACTCCGAGCACTGATGTGGCTTCTCCCCTGCATGGATAAGCTGGTGCTGGGCCAGCCTGGAGGAGCGAGCAAAGCTCTTACCACACTCCAAGCACTGATATGGCTTCTCCCCTGTGGGGATAAGCTGGTGCTGGGCCAGCCTGGAGGAGCGAGCAAAGCTCTTACCACACTCCAAGCACTGATGTGGTTTCTCCCCTGTGTGGATATGGTGGTGCTGAGACAGGGTAGAGGACTGAGTGAACCTCTTACCACACTCCAAGCACTGATATGGCTTCTCCCCTGTGTGGATACGTTGGTGCTTACCCAGGCTGGAGAAGAAAGCAAAGCTCTTCCCACACTCTGAGCACTGATGTGGCTTTTCTCTTGTGTGGATACGCAGGTGCTCAACCAGGCTGGAGGACTGGGTGAAGCTCTTACCACACTCTGAGCATTGATGTGGCCTCTCCCCTGTGTGGATACGTTGGTGCTTAGCCAGGCTGGAGGAGAGAGTGAAGCTCTTCCCACACTCCGAGCACTGATGTGGCTTCTCCCCCATATGAATGAGCTGGTGCTTAGCCAGGCTGGAGGAAACAGTGAAGCTCTTCCCACACTCGGAGCACTGATGTGGCTTCTCCCCTGTGTGGATACGTTGGTGCTTCGCCAGGCTAGAAGAGAGAGTGAAGCTCTTCCCACACTCCAAGCACTGATGTAGCTTCACCCTCATGTGAATGAGCTGGTGCCGGGCCATGTTGGAAGATTGGGTGAATCTCTTCCCACACTTTGAGCACTGATGTGGCTTCTCCCCTGTATGAATAAGCTGGTGCTGGGCCAGCCGGGAGGAGTGAGCAAAGCTCTTCCCACACTCTGAGCACTTATGTGGCTTCTCTCCAGTATGAATGAGCTGGTGCTTAGCTAGGCTGGAGGAGGCAGTGAAGCTCTTCCCACACTCCAAGCACTGATGTGGCTTCTCCCTCATATGAATGAGCTGGTGCCGGGCCATGCTGGAAGACTGGGTGAAGCTCTTCCCACACTCTGAGCACTGATGTGGTTTCTCCCCTGTGTGGATAAGCTGGTGCTGGGCCAGCCTGGAGGAGTGAGCGAAGCTCTTCCCACATTCTGAGCACTTATGTGGCTTCTCCCCCATATGAATGACCTGGTGCTTAGCTAGGCTGGAGGAGACACTGAAGTTCTTTCTACACTCCAGGGACTGATGTGGCTTCTCCCTCATATGAATGAGCTGGTGCCGGGCCATGCTGGAAGACTGGGTGAAGCTCTTCCCACACTCTGAGCACTGATGTGGTTTCTCCCCTGTGTGGATAAGCTGGTGCTGGGCCAGCCTAGAAGGGTCAGTGAAAGTCTTCCAACACTCCGAGCACTGATATGGCTTCTCACTCATATGAATGAGCTGGTGCCGGGCCAGGTGGGAGGATTGGGTGAAGCTCTTCCCACACTCCGAGCACTGATGTGGCTTCTCTCCTGTGTGGATAAGCTGGTGCTTAGCCAGGCTAGAGGAGACAGCGAAGCTCTTCCCACACTCTGAGCACTGATGTGGCTTCTCTCCTGTGTGGATAAGCTGGTGCTGGGCCAGCCTGGAGGAGAGAGTGAAGCTCTTCCCACACTCCGAGCACTGATGTGGCTTCTCCCCTGTGTGGATAAGCTGGTGCTGGGCCAGTCGGGAGGAGTAAGTGAAGCTCTTCTCACACTCTGAGCACTGATGTGGCTTCTCCCCTGTGTGGATAAGCTGGTGCTGGGCCAGTCGGGAGGAGTAAGTGAAGCTCTTCCCACACTCTGAGCACTGATGTGGCTTCCCCATATGACTGAGCTGGTGCTGGGCCAGCCTGGAGGACAGAGTGAAGCTCTTACCGCACTCCGAGCATTGATGTGGTTTCTTCTCTGTGTGGATAAGCTGGTGCTGGGCCAGGTTGGAGGAGTAAGCGAAGCTCTTACCACACTCTAAGCACTGATGTGGCTTTTCTCCTGTGTGGATACGCTGGTGCTGAACCAGGGTGAAGGAGCGAGTGAACCTCTTACCACAGCCCAAGCACTGATGTGGCTTCTCCCCTGTGTGGATACGCTGGTGCTCAGCCAGGCTGGAGGACTGACTGAAGCTCTTCCCACACTCCGAGCACTGATGTGCCTTCTCCCCCATATGGATAAGCTGGTGCTGGGCCAGCCTGGAGGAGAGTGTGAAGTTCTTACCACACACTGAGCACTGATTTGGTTTCTTTTGTGTGTGGATACGATGGTGCCGGGCCAGGTTGGAAGATCGGGTGAAGCTCTTCTCACACTCTGAGCACTGATGTGGCTTCTCCCCTGTGTGCATGCACCAGTGCCTGGCCAGGCTGGAGAGCTGCTTGAATCTCTTCCCACACTTGGTGCAGCAGTGCTGCCCACACTGGTGCTGGGACAGGTCTTGCCAGCAGATGAAGTTCTTGCACTTAGTGCAGCAGTGAGTCTTCCTGCCCAGGTGGGTGCATTGGTGCTGAGACAGGGAGAAAAAATGGGTGAATGTCTTGTCACACTTGACACAGCTGTGCCTGACACTTCCCCCTCTGCACATGTAGGTGCTTGACCAGGTCTATGGGTCACACAAAGCTCTTCACCCACTTGGTGAACCGGTGGGGTAGCTTTCCAGAATGGGATGAGCGGTGAGTAACCAGGGTAGAGAGGCAGGTAAAGCTTTTCCCACACCTGGTGTATATGTGGGACTTCTGCCCAGTGTGTCTTATCTTGTGAAGAGCCAGGAGGGATGGGCAGTTAAAGGTTTTTCTGACCTTGGGGGAAGTGTGGGCTTTGCCCCGGTGCTGGGCAGTGAGCTCCTGCTTCCCTCTGAGGCCCTTCCCACTGCCTTGGCTGGGATGCAGTGCATCTTTCCAGTGGCTCTTTAGGTCTCTCAGCTCCACAGATTCTTCCCTGCAGCCAGGGCTCTTTCTGGGTTCTGCCCCTTCTCCACTGTCCCACTCAACTGGAGATGGTACCTGGTTCACCGCTACATTCTTCATCTGCTTCTGGGGTCTCCCCTGACTCTTGGTCCGTTGATCCTTCTCAGGTCTCAGGGAGTCCATGTCACCAAAATTCCCTGGGGAAGCCCATGGTGGCTCCAGGTTTGCAGGCCTTTCCGCAGGATTCTCCTCCTCAGCTCCACCGAGGAGCCAGGCACCTCCTGAATGGGGAAGAGAAGCTCCAGATTAGTCCCTGCGCTGCTGGCAAGGGGCAGACACTGCTATCTCTTCTGCATGGATGGGCCTGAGTAGGCCTGGACCATCCCTGCAGTTTTCACCCCTCTGTGGCTTAACACACACACACACACGTGACATGAGTTTTGCTTTCATAACTTTGAGGTGCAGTTTCCCAGAGACCCCTGCACCTATCTCCTTGAAACTTTGCACACGTCAAGCTCTCAGCAGAGGCTACCATCCCGGCATGTTTCATCTAAATCAACCAAAAGATAATAACACTATAGATATTTCATTGATTCCCCATTATACCCTATGGCCGAATTGCCGAATCTTTTCCAAATTGATTCGGAAAGCCTAAAGCTTCCAGCGAGTCAATTCAGGTTAATAGACTTGGCTTCTGAATCATCCGAATCATCTCTGTATCCAAATCATGATCCAAAGCTTTGCACAGCCCTAGAAAGCAGCGTTCAGCTGGTAAGTCTCCTGGGGGGAATGGGTGATCAGGGAGGCAGATCAGGGCCCCCATGGTGAGGGAGGGAGTAGGATGGAGTCATGGCTTGTCTGGGTGTCGCGGCTCCGCACACCGTGGGGGAGACGTGGGGCACGCGTCCCCTGGACCTGTGGGTCAGGCAAGGGCTGTGGCTGTCTCTTCTGAAAGGAGCAGGTCTGGTGCAGGGAATGGGCCCATGGAGCTTTCCTCTGCTGACAAGCCCCAGCTGGCCTGTGTCACGAGAGTCTGAACCAGGTGTAAGAGCTTGGCATAATCCTGAACATGGACTCTGTGCTGAGTCTGAGACTGTGTGACGCTGAGGGACCTAGAGAGGAAATAGGAAGGGGGCAATTCTGGTGCAAAACATGGGGGATTTCCTTCCCACAACATGAAATACATAGGGAGTATGAAGAAGGCACTGGGTAATGTGGGGCCCCTGCAGGATATGCTAGGCAATCTGGTGGTTGCACCAGAGGGAAAAGCAGACATTTTTAACAAATTCTTTGCCTCCATTTTTTGTGCAGGGACCGGGACTCCCCCGAGATTTGGGACAGACTCAGGAGAGACTCTGCCAGGCCTAGGGTCACGGAGGACCGAGTTAGAGAACTTCTGGAGGAGCTGGACGTGTTCAAATCAACAGGTCCAGATGCTCTCCAGATGTTGAGAGAATTGGCAGGGGTTATTGCGGGGCCCCTGGCACAGCTTTACGAGCACTCGTGGTGCTCTGGCCAGGTGCCAGACGACTGGAAGAAGGCCAATGTGGTCCCCATCTTCAAAAAAAGGGAGGAGGGAGGACCCGGGCAACTATAGGCCCGTTAGTCTTACTTTCATCCTAGGAAAGCTCTTTGAGAAGGTTATCAAGACGCACATCTGTGAAGGGCCAGCAGCAGGGATGGTGCTCAGGGATGGTTTCATTAAGGGCAGGTCCTGTCAGACCAACCTGATTGCCTTCTACAATCAGGTCACAAAATCACTGGATGCAGGTGTCACGGTGGATGTAGTCTTGCTGGACTTCAGGAAGGCCTTTGACACTGTCTCCCACCACATCCTCATTAAAAAGCTAGGCGACTGTGGCACTGATGCCTACACAGTCAGATGGATAGGAAATTGGCTGATGGGCCGCACTCAGAGTGGTGGTGGATGGGTCATATTTGATCTGGAGGGATGTGGGCAGTGGAGTCCCCCAGGGCTCGGTCCCTGGGCCTGCACTGTTCAATTTCTTTATTAGGGATAACTGCACCTTGTCATACATCCACAGATGCATCATAAGCAGGGCTAAGGAGGTGATCCTCCCCCTCTATGCGGCACTGGTCAGGCTGCAGCTTCAGTACTGCGTCCAGTTCTGGGCACCGCACTTCAGGAGGGATGCGGTCAGCATTGAGAGGGTCCAAAGGAGGGCCGCTTGCATGATCCAGGGACAGCAGGGCAGACCCTATGAGGAGAGGCTACGGGACCTGAACCTGTTCAGCCTCCACAAGAGAAGGCTGAGAGGGGACCTGGTGGCCGTCTGTAAACTTACTAAGGGGGACCAGCGGGGAATGGGAGAGACCTTGTTCCCCGAAGCACCTCCCAGTGTAACAAGGAATAATAGCCATTAGTTGTTGGAGAGTAGGTTCAGACTAGACATTAGAAGGCACTACTTCACAGTCAGGGCAGCTAGGATCTGGAACCAACTTCCAAGGGAAGTGATGCTGGCTCCTACCTTGGGGGTCTTTAAGAGAAGGCTTGATGATTACGCAGCTGGGGTCATTTGAGCCCAGTTTTCTCTCCTACCCAGGGCAAGATGTCGGACTAGAAGATCTGCAAGGTCCCTGCTGACCCTACATCTATGAATCTATGAAAACTTCTGCCATGGAGCCATTTAGTGCAGCCTGAGATGATGCTGACACACTTCCTAGGTTCCAGGTCAACCCGACCAGAAGGAGTCAGGGAAAGCCCCAGCTTTTGGTTAAACAGAGCTTCTGTACATCATCTTGTTTTCCAGGGGGGACTACAAATGCCATCATGTCCTGAGAGAGGGTGTTACAGAGGTAAGGCAACCTTGGCTGAGGAATGAACTCTACGTTACTAAGTGAAGATGCAAATTTAAGATCATGGTATCCCAAGGAAACCAGATCTGGGCCAATAAATCAAGACAGCAAACTCAATTGTCCCCTAATAGCTGTAATCATGGGGAGAAGAAAGGACAAGTTGCTAGTCTCCATATCATTGGATATTCAGAAAGGGGGAACAACACCTGCCTGGACACGTTACAGCATAATGTACTGTCTTTCAGGTCAGGACCCTGCAATGGCAGCACAGGGCATGTCAGCAGTTCCCAGATTGCCCTGGCACTCTGGGCATGGAGCATTTCAGAGAGGGGAATTGGGTGGAGGGGACAGCCACAACTCACCTGGCAGCAGCTCCTCTGACCTGGAGATTTCCCCACCATCCTCATCATCACAGACCCACAGCTCCACCAATCCTCGCTGGATGCGGCAGATTAAGTCGGGTGTGGGACCTCGATGTCCTGTTTGGGACAGTGGTTAAAGAGCATTTGTGACTGGGTACTGGATGCAGAATAACCGACCAAGATTTGGGGAATGGATCCAATGAACTCAACGTTTCACTGAGGAGGAAGCATTTAGGGTGAAAGGGAAGGCACTGCAGGGAGACTTGAAGAGATAATGGTTCTTGTCACGCAGGTACTGGAGGAATGGTCATAGGAAACAAAGCCCAACCACTCCATGGTACAGAAAGGGTATCAAACTGACAGTCACCAAGGACAGGCATGGAGATACAGTGATCCGCGATGTACTAGGGAGCAGAAAGATAAAGCTTTTACTGTTTTCAAGGTACCAAAATGAAGAGACACTGGACACACTTACGGATGGATATCATTTATCTCACCAGTGCAACTCCGGTTAAAGGAATGGAAATGAGCTTATTCTCAGTGAAGGTTTAAAGTGAGGACCTGTAGCAGTGAAAAGCGTCCATGACAGGTGGCTGAAAATGAAACTGTTTTCTGGGAGCCAGGATAAATCAGCATCGCCAGGGCACAGGACAAGATCTGAGCAGGGTGCGGGGCCCAGGGGAAATCAGCCTGTGCAGGGCCCTGCCTCCAGATGCAAGGAAGCTGGCAGCAGATTTGGCAGTGGAAGGGGATGGGAGGGGAGGCGAGGTGAGCGGCCAGACACACCAGATTCAGTGGTGGATTCAGCGGCGGGGGTGCTGAGCAGCCAGGCATGAAGCTGGTGGCAGCGCAGAGTCACCACACCACTCTGCCCAGCTCTGCGGGGCCCCCCAAAAAGTGCAGGGCCTGGGGCGGTCACCCCAATTTGCCCCCCATCAGGTACAGCCCCGTATATGGTCTTTGTTGAGCTATGGAAAGCATTTGAGCACTCCCCTTAGGAAATCCTCTGAGAGAAGTGGAGGGGAAAGAAAGCATCAGAAAAGCATACTGTCCCAGGAGAAGGTAAGTACCTCAAGCCTGCACACAAGCAAGAACAAGCCCCTGTATTAGAGATCCTCTGGAAATGAAAAATGGTTTTCACAAGGCCCTGCACACCTAGCCCACTTTTTCTTATCACAGTGATGGGTGTCTGATCTGCAGAGGGATTTTAGGAAGAGAATGAGAAAACTTCTGACAATGGCAGAGCAAGCTTGACAGCACAGGTCTTAATGTAAATACAGCAAAGCCAGAGTCTCTGGTGTATGAAGAAGAAGATATTAGGGAGAATTGCGGACAGAAACTTCCCGTGACCCCATGGCAGAAGTACCTAAGTTACATCATGTGTACATCTGTCACTAGAGGAAGAGTTCAGGAAATGCATCATCCACATGTTGTAGCAGCAGAGGAGATTAACTTCCAGTAACTTGTACCGGGTCGTAACCAAAGGAGGAGAGAAAGGATTCAGATAGTACTAGAGGTGCCATACATTGGTCCCATATCAGACTGCCACTGATATCGGGAAAATTGAGAGCATCGGCAATCAGCTTATTTTGCGTGATGTGGCCATTAATGTCTCTAATAAATGGCCCGTGCACGTGTGTAGCTGCAGCACGCACATGGCCAGGAGCGCAGCCTGGTGGTTTGGAGAGCAGCATTAGCTGGTAAGTCTGTTGTGGGGGAAGGGACAGGAGGAGGGAAGGGATATAGGGGGGCAGATGGAGGACCCCACGGTGCGGGAGGGAGTGGGGCTGGGGCAGGCACTGCTAATTCGGGATGGAGTGGGGCGTGGGATGGAACTGCAAGTGGCTGGTCCAGAGGAAACGGCTCCTACCCCTGCCCCTGCGAGCACCCCAGGAGGCATGGGGGGTGTGCCCCCAGATCTGTGTGGGGCAGGGCAGGGTGCCGATGGGCTGGGGTCGGAGCGGCACTGGGGTCTTCCCAGCAAGAAAGGCTGGGCCGGGCTGTGCTTGGGGTGGATGGCAGCACTGCTGGGAGCAGGGGTACAGCATGGGGGGGAGGGGGATGTGCTGCAATGGCAAAGCTTGGAGTGGCTGCAGCCCCCCCATAACCCTCTTCCCAATGCCGCTCCCACCCGCCCTGAGCTCAGCACTGCCCACCTCCCACCAGGAAGTCCCCGGTGCCACTTCCAGTCCCAGCCTGCAGTGGCAGCATGTCCAGACACAAGCAGATCTGGGGGCACATGCCCCCATGCCCTCCTGGGGTGTGTGCAAGGGCGGGAGCCACCCTCCACCGCACACTCCAGATGAACCACTCACAGCTCCGTCTTGTGCCCCACCCCTCCCCTACTGAGCAATGCCTGCCCCAGCCTCAGCCCCATGTCCTCCCTCACCATATGGGCCTCCATCTGTCCCCTGCGTGCCCCTTTCTACCTCCCAGTCCTTCCCCCACAACAGACTTACCAGCCCAGCACTTGTCTCCAACCTGCCTGGCTGCATATCAGAATCAGATTCGAATTGGCCAATATGGCTTCTTAAAAATCGGCCATCAGCTTCAGCCCAAAAAATTTCTATTGGTGCAACCCTAGATAGTGCAGAACTGAGCACACAATGACTCTTAAATGTGTTTGGAAAGGACACACTAGTGAAGGAGAAAATTAGAAATATTTCCCAAGGAAGAGTGAATTGATGCACAATGAATTGAACAGGTATGGACATCGATAGAAGGCAAAGGGAAATCATGTTGTCAAGAAACCACTGAATCTGTAAGCACCAGCAGTTACGAGAATCAGGAAGACACAAATGAAGGTGGCGTAAGGAGGATCTATTAACATGATATGTGAGAGGTCTGATCACTGATAGAGCAGTGGGGAGGAAGCAGACTGAAGCCACCAGCCAAAGGTGCATGAGGATGAGACTGCTGAGAAACAGGAAGAAGACAATAAACTTCAGAGTTCACATAGCTCCAGGGAGAAGCAAGAACCAGCGCTTTACCCAGGGAGACGAGGGCTTGGAAATTCCTCAGCATCTGGTCCTGGTAAATCCCCTTGTCCTCATCTTCAAGCAGCTCCCACTCCTTCCGTGTGAAGTACACAGCCACGTCCTGAAACACCTCCCGGAGCTGCAGTCACAAACATTACACCATCAGTGTCTCCTCTTCCAGCTGCTTCCAGCACCCACAGCCCTGTCTGCAATCACTCGGTACTACAACTAACTGCAGGCTTTGTCATGACAGGTAAGGGTGCAATATTCCCCAGTCTTCAGCTGACATGTGATGTGGATGCAGCTGTGGACCTGGGAGTTGACCTGTCAACTTTAGCCCAGCTCATCACATTTTAATTGCTCGGTACTTTGAGGCAGCCTGGGCAGCACTTATAGGCAGGGAGCCCCGGCTCCACGCGCTCTGACAAGGCCTGCCCATGCCAGCACCCCCCTGGATACCTGCACTTGGGAGGGAGCTCCTGCTAATGCAGCTTGGTGTGTTTGCAACATCCATCACAGATTTGATGCTCTTTGGGTCTCTCTGCACCCCAAATTCTTTACACCACCCCTGGTTCTTCCTGTGCTCTGCCCCAGCTGTACTTGCACGCCCAAATGGACCTAGTGTCCTGCTCACTTCCAAGCTTTCCCCCTGCTTTGCAGGTTTGCTCTGCCACCTCTGCACTTGGCCTGGCTCAGGTGTCAGGAAGCCCCTCTCCTCCAGTCTCCCCAGGGAAGTCCTCTGCAGCTCCAGGTTAACAGACCCGTCCTCAAGAGGCTGCTGCTCAGCTCTCTGCAGGGTCCCAGCACCTGTGGAGTGGAGAAGAGAATGCTCAGGTGAGCCCTGGTGCTGCTGGCACGGGGAAAGCCCTGCTGGTCTCCTGTACGGGCCCGGGACAAAGGCAGCCGGAGGCTTCAGTGTGTGGAAAAGCGGGGAGGTGGAAGAATCCAAGTCCCACAGGTATGGCTAACAGACCTCCACAGGCACGAAGCTGGAGATGAGCCCCGATAAGTCTATCCCAGTGCAGGGTGGTGATCACAGCACCATGACAGAGCCTGCACGAATATCACTGCCTGGGAAAGAAGCTCAAGGGATTTAGGAACTCTATCAGATCGACACATGAAGGGTAGGGGGAGGGGAAATGCAAGGTCTGTCTTCTCCAAGCAAAACAAGAACAGGCACTGTGTTGGAGCACTGACCCCACCAAAATATGCGAGCAGACAGGCGGATGGTGCCTCCTGCTGCTGGAAAGGGTAGAGCTACCGCTCCTTACCTGCTCCTTGGGGAGGGCCTTGTCTGGGGCACCAGCGTGACGAGCTTCCATCTGCTGACAACTCCCAGGTCTCTCTGGTGTCAGGAGAATCTGCAGCAGGACAAAGGCCTGGGTTAGCTGCACCTGAACCAGGTGCTGACTCCTGGGGAGTCTCATTTCCCTGTCACCTGCACCAGCCCCTTATTCAGCACAGATGGTTCACAGAGGCATGAGAAAGGACAAGCAGAGCACTGATTGTTAGAACAGCAATTTTGTGGATACAAATGAATGATTTTTTTAAAGGATTTTTTTTACTTAAATCAGATTTTATATATTTAATAGGTTTTGAAATTTTTTTAATGATGCTTATTTAAAAAGAATAAACCTATATAAAAGATAGTATCAAAAGTCTTTCTAAAAATCAAGGTATACCACATCCACTGGTCTCCCCATATCCACAGAGCCAGTCACCTCATCATAGAAGGCAATAAGGTTGAGTTTTAACGTAATCTTAAATTAAAACGGTCTCCCACTACATTCTCTCAGGGAAACTAAGGAAGTACAGGCTGGATGAATGGACTGTAAGGTGGACAGAAAACTGGCTGGAGCACTGGACTCAGATGGTATTAATCAATGGCACAATGTCTAGTTGGCAGCTGGTATCAAGCGGAGTGCCCCTGGGGTTGGTCCTGGGGCCGGTTTTGTTCAATGTCTACATCAACATCCTGGAGGACGGCATAGAGCGCACCCTCAGCAGGTTTGCAGGTGACACCAAGCTGGGGGGAGCAGTAGATACAGTGAGGTAGAGCTAGGATTCAGAGAGACCTTGACAAATTGGAGGAGTGGGCCAAACAAAATCTCATGAGGTTCGACAAGGACAAGTGCAAAGTCTTGCACTTCGGATGTAACAATCCCACTGTGGGAAAGACTTAACTCCATCAGATGAGGAGAGAAGGTGGTGGGATGCCACACCAGAAGCGAAGCACTGTGAAAGTGAAACTGTGGCGCTCCCGCCCACCACAGTGAAGGAGGAAAAGAAAAAAAACCTGCGGAGTCAGAAGGGGCTGGGATCAGCTCCTACGTCAGCCTGGGCACGCTTTGTAACAGCGTGCTGAGGCCGATTCGCGGGCCGGAACACCGCAGCTGGGATAAAAAGCCCAGCAGGGAAGCAGGATCGGAAGTGAGGTCTGGAAGTGAGGACCGGAAGTGAGGAGGTCCCCAATCAGCCCGAAGGGGCCAAATATTGAAAGTGGTCCCAGCACAGGGATGTGGTGGCTACCCCAGGAAGGGGTTTCAGTGAAGAGAGAAAGCCAGAGATGGCTCCATAATTTACCGGAGGAGGTGCTGTGGGAGACAGAGATCCACAGTGCAGACTGGACTGCTACAGAACCAAACCATGGCAAGTATAAGACGCCAGTAGAGAACGGGATGCTGGGGAACACAACAGTCGTTAACCCACAAGATGCATAAGTAAGGCAAGGTACGGCTGTGATCAAATGAGTAAAATAATGTCTTGGTTCTGCCGCAGGAAATCTAAAGGTCTAAGACACCAAAAGAGTGCGTCATAACAATCCGGGTGGCTCAAGCAACAACATCGTCAGATGGAGTTAGGTGGGGTGTAGGGGAGGTGGAGCCCTGAGGGATGACTCTGAAACTCATGCTAAGCTTGGGCCTACTCACAAAGTTAAAACACAGAATACTGATGCTAACTGCATATTAAAAGAGGATGCAAGTTCATGGCTAGGCCATGTAAGAAGGAATAATGAAGTATCTCTTCCAGCTTACCTTGCTATATTCAGGATGATTTCAAGCAGACTCTTAGTTGCCTGGTGTGTAACCGTACGAAGTGTCTTTCTCTGATTAATTAGTATGGTAAATATTTATTTTGCAACTAACTCATGTTTATGTGCAGGAAGAGACATTCTCCATATGTAATAGATGTCTCCTCCTGATTTAGTATGCTTTTCCTAGCTGTTAATCAGTTTCTTGATACATTCCAAACTGGATAACCTCTTGTTACTGAAGAAGGTAACTCATTCAAATTAGAAATTTCTGATAACCAGTAATCAGCAGGTTTTTCCTGTCAATTACTGTTTGGGACTCTGTCTTGATTTACACAACTAAAAGAATGCTTTGAAGATGCTAAACTAAGGGTATAAAAATGCAGTAAAACAGCAAACAGCACACACGCTTCAAGAGTGAGAAATCTAACAGCAGTTGCTGATGCGTCTGACTTACTCAAGAAGTTGAAGAGAAACAGACCGCCTCTTCGTCACCTGTTTGGTGAGAAATCATCACCTTATAGCTAATTACTGGACTTTGATTTGGTTTGGAATCACTTGACTTGATTTTAAATACTTGTAGTAAATAAAGCCTTTCTGTCACTCATTGAACGAGGTGTCGTGTCAGTCCCTGGGCTAGTCCAGAATGCTAGGTTTTTATTTGCTAACACCAAGCAGGCAGGACAAACGGAATGACCGAAGGAAGGCACCAGGAAGGACGGGACAAACCCTCTTCCTCCCCATCAAAAATTAATTTTCTAGCAAAGATGTGGCAGGTGAGACCCCTCCTGGGATACCAACTGAGGTCCAGTCTATTAACAAGCTTGTTCTTCCCTTAAAGCAATGGCAAAGCTAGAAAAATCCATACGGACTCAACGCACAGGTGAAAGGTAGGGAAATTTACACCCATGCACTGGTACAGGCTGGGGGCTGACTGACAGGGCAGCAGCTCTGCAGGAAAGGAGCTGGGGGTGACAGTGGAGAAGCAGCTGGATATGAGCTAGTAGTGTGCCCTTGTTGCCAAGAAGGATAGCGGCATCCTGGGCATCCTAATTCTGATTGCAAGTAAGAACCGAGACTTAGTAGGGCTCAAAGAAACCTGGTGGGACCCTACCTACGACTGGGCGGTGGGCATTCGGGGATACACCCTAGATAGAAGAGACAGGACAGAGAGGAAAGGTGGGAGGGGGGTTGCGCTCTATGTCAAGAGCACCTCACATCATCAAGGATTAGCTTCGGGTTAGAGGAGGGTTGGACAGAGACACTATGGGTCAAACTACAAGGGGTGCGTGGCGAAAGGGACCTTACAGTGCGTGTCTACTACAGACCACCCAACCAGGGGGAAGAGCTGGACCAGGACTTCTCCAGTCAGCTCATGGAGGCGGTTAGGTCAAGGGATGTTATTGTCATGGGTGACCTAAACTACCCAGACATTTGCTGGGAGGAGCAGACAGCCAGGTCTGACCATTCGCGTAGGTTCCTGGCTGTATTACAGGACCGTCACCTTATCCAGGAAGTGCACAGCCCCACTCAGGGTAACGTCTTGCTGGACCTGGTCCTGGCCACAGGGGATGACCGGGTGAGGGGACTGCAGGTCCTTGACCACCTAGGCAATAGCGATCATCACCTGCTGGATTTCACTATCCAACGCAGGGCGTCTAGGTCTCACACCAAGGCTAAAGGCCTTGACTTCAGAAGGGCCAACTTCAACAAGCTTAGGAGACTAGTGGGGGAGGCACTAAGGGCCCAGAAGGTAGAGGAGATGGGAGTCCACAAAGGATGGTCATACCTTAAGGGGGCGATCCTCCGGCCCAAAGGATAACAGTCCCTGAGAGAAGCAAGGCGGGTAAGAGTGCTCAGAGCCACCCTTGGCTCAGCAAGGGCATTCAGCAATGCCTGAGGACTAAAAGGGGGGCATCCAACCAGTGGAAGGGAGGAGCTATCACCAAGGAGGAGTACTCTTCCTCGGCCTGGAAGTGTAGGAGGGCTGCTAGGAAGGCCACGGCAGAGATGGAGCTCAGGCTAGTGTCCAGGACAACAAAAAGCCCTTTTTCAAGTACATTGGGAGCAAGAAAAGGGCACCAGGCAATGTGGGGCCCCTGCAAGGCACAAATGGTAATCTGGTGGCCACTCCAGACAAGAAAGCTGATATTTTTAAGTTTCTTTGCCTCTGTTTTCCTGAACAGGGACCGGGATATCCCACCTACCAGAGGTAGGGACAATCTTGGGGATACCTCTATCAAGCCTTCAGACAGCGCAGATGTAGTTAGGGATCTTTTGGAAGGGCTAGACATTTTTAAATCTGCAGGTCCAGATGACCCCCGCCCAAGGGTGTTGAGGGAGCTAGCAAGGGTCATTCCAGAGCCCTTGGCCCAGCTGTATGAGCACCCGTGGTCATCTGGCCCGGTGCCGGGGGATTGGAAACTGGCTAATGTGGTCCCAGTTTTCAAGAAGGGGAGGATGAAGGACCCAAGTAACTATAGGCCTATAAGCCTCACCTTGGTGCTCGGGAAGATCTTGGAGAGAATCATCAAAGAGCACATCTGTGGGAGGCCTGCAGGGGAGATCATGCTCAGGGGCAATCAGCAAGGGTTCACCAAAGGCAGGTCCTGCTTGACCAACCTGATTGTCTTTTATGACCAAGTAACTAAATCCTTGGATGATGGTGTTGCCCTGGACGTAGTCTTTCTAGACTTTAAGAAGGCCTTTGACGCTGTCTCTCACCCCATCCTCTTCAATAAATTAAGTGACTGCGGCATTGATGCCTGCACAGTTGGATAGGTAAAAAACTGGCTGATAGGGCGCACCCAGAGAGGTGGATGGGTTGTACTCAACCTGGCGAGATGTGAGCAGTGGGGTACCCTAAGGCTTGGTCCTCGGGCCCGCACTGTTTAACATCTTCATCAGCGACTTGGACGAGGGGGTGGAAAGCACGCTGTCCAAGTTTGCTGATGACACTAAGATGTGGGGTGAGATGGACAGACTTGAAGGGAGAGAGAGAGGCTGTAACTAGATTTAGACAGACTACAAAAGTGGGCAGACGAGAATAGGATGGGGTTCAACATAGACAAATACAGGGTGCTGCACCTGGGGAGAAGGAATCCACAGCATACATACAGGCTGGGGAATTCCCCTCTTGAAAGCACAGAGGCGGAAAGGGATCTCGGAGTCATTATTGACTCCAAGATGAACATGAGCCGCCAATGCCAGACCGCAGCCAGCAAGGCCAGCCATACATTGTCATGCATCCAAAAGGTGCAGCTGAAGCCGGTCCAGAGAAGTGATGCTCCCTCTCTATGCGACTTTGGTCAGACCGCAGTTGGAGTACTGTGTCCAGATTTGGGTGCCGCACTTCAAGAGGGACACGGGGAATCCCGAGAGGGTCCAGAGGAGGCCACTCGCATGATTAGTGGCCTTCGTGATGGACATTATGGGGGGAGGTTGAGAGAGCTGGATCTCTTCAGCCTTCACAAGAGACGGCTGAGGGGAGATTTTGTGGCCGCCTATAAATTTATTAGGGGAGGTCAACGGGGAATAGGGGAAATGCTGTTTACTAAGGCGCCCCAGGGAGTGACTAGGAATAACGGGTGTAAACTAGTTGAGAGTGGTTTTAGGTTAGATATTACGAAGACATTTTTCACAGTAAGGGTGGCCAGGATCTGGAATGGGCTTCCAAGAGAGGTGGTGCTATCACCTAGCTTGGAGGTCTTCAAGAGGAGGCTAGATAGTCACCTGGCTGGGGTCATCTCACCTCGGTCCTCTTTCCTGCCAGGGGCAGGGGGTCGGACATGATGATCCATTGTGGTCCCTTCCAACTCTACAATCTATGAAATCTCTTGATTTTTAACAGCTTGTCTCATTTTGCATTCCTATAGCACAGGTTTTGAAAGACTGTTTTTTTCATACCTGAGGAATATCTGACCATCTTTCATCTCTCACCATTTTTAATTTCTTTTTTTTTGCTTGAGAGAGGATGTGGGTATCCAAAAGCTTGCAAATAGCAACTTTTTGCACCTATTTAGTTAGTCTAATAAAAAGATATCACATCTACCCAAAGACTTCAGCTACAGGTCAATATTCCCCCCTCCACCCTTACCTCGTTTCTCACCCATTGTCTCGTGGCATTTTCACTGACTGGAGTTCTTGCATATTGGCTTCTGGGATAAGCCATCCTGAAAGAAGAATGAAAGTGGCCAGGAGCCATGCTCCATTCCTTGTAGCTCAGTACACAGCAAATGCAGTCAGACTGGTAAAACTACCACTACAAGCTATCTTTTATTAGACCAACTAAAATAGTTGGAAAAATTCTTTTTTGCAAGCTTTTGGGCACAAACAGCCTTGCTCAGGCAAAGAGGGCACCTGCAGATGTTTTGTGCTCTTCCTGGATGAT